AGAATATTCCACTTCTTTGCTTTAATAAACTCCTGGGTTGCTTTGGCTTTATGTTTTGGGTCATTGTCCATCTGTAGTATGAAATGACGACCAATCAGTTTGACTGCATTTGACCGGATCTGAGCACAGTTTGGCTCTGAATACCTCAGAATTCATTGGGCTGCTTCTGTCCTGTGTCACATCATCAATAAACACTAGTGACCTAGTGCCACAGGCAGCCATGCATGCCCAAGCATCACACTGCTCTGCTGTGTTTTACAGATGATGTGGTGCTTTGGACCATGAGCTGCACCACGCCTTCACCAGACTTTTCTCTTTCCATCATTCTGGTAGAGGTATATCTTGGTTTCATCTGTCCAAAGAATGCTCTTCCAGAACTCTTCTGGCTTTTTTAGATGTGTGGTTTTTTTTTTTTTTTTGCAAAGTCCAGTCTAGCCTTGATGCTTATGAGTGTCTTGCAGCATGCAGTGAACCCTCTGTATTTACTTTCATGCAGTCTCTTCTCTTTATGGTAGATTTTGATATTGATACTTCTACCTCCTGGAGAGAGTTGTTGACTTGGTTGGCTGTTGTGGAGTGCTTTCTCTTCACCATGGAGATTATTAAGCCATCATCCACCACTGTTGTCTTTTTGCATTGATGAGTTCACCAGTGCTTTCTTTCTTTCTCAGGATGTACCAAAGTGTAGATTTTGCCACTCCTAATGTAGCAATTTCTTGGATGGGTTTTGTCTGTTTTTGAAGCTTAAGGATGGCTTGTTTCACCAGCATGGAGAGCTCCTTTGACCACATGTTTACTTCACAGCATCCATCCATCCATTTTCTGTACACGCTTCTTCCTTTTCAGGGTCGCGTGGGTCACTGGTGCCCATATCCAGCAGTCACAGTGCGAGGGGCGGGGTACACCCTGGACAGGTCGCAAGTCCATCACAGGGCCACACATAGAGACAAACGAGACAAACAACCATTCACTCTCTGACTTACACCTAGGGACAATTTAGAGTTATCAATTAACCTAACAGTCATGTTTTTGATCTGTGGGAGGAAGCAGGAGTACCCGGAGAGAACCCACGCATGCACGGAGAGAACATGCAAACTCTACCCAGAAAGGTCCCCGGACCGGGATTTGAACCGGTGACCTTCTTGCTGAGAGGCATCAGCTCTACCAACTGAGCCACCGTGCCGCCCAAGCACAGCAAAACCTTCCAAATGAGAGCACCACACCTCAAATCAACTCCAGGCCTTTTATCTGCTTCATTGAGAATGACATAAGGAAGGGATTGCCCACACCTGTCCATGAAATAGCCTTGGAGTCAATTGTCCAATTACTTTTGGTCCCTTTAAAAACAGGGTGGCACATGTTAAGGAGCTGAAACTCCTAAACTTTCATCCAGTTTTAATGTGGATACCCCCAAATGAAAGCTGAATGTCTGGACTTTATGACCATGTACATTATATAACTATAACTTGAATATGTTTCAGTAAACAGGTAAAAAGACTAAATTTGTGTCAGTGTCCATATATATGGACCTAACTGTATACAGCGGGTAAAATAAGTATTGAACACGTCAAAATTTTTCTCAGTAAATATATTACTAGAGGTGCTAATTTTCACCAGATGTCAATAACAACCCAAATGATCCATACATGCAAAGAAATCAAACCATACATGTCCAGAAATGAAGTTATTTGTAATAATGTGGAATGGCACAGGGAAAAAGTATTGAACACATGAAGAAAGGGAGGTGTAAAAAGGCATGGAAAGCCAAGACACCAGCTGAACTCTCTCAGTAATTAGAAAGCAAGCCTGCCCCTTGTCAGTGCAAGTTAATATCAGCTGGTTCAGTCCCAAATGATGGCCAGGTATCACACAAGAACCATCTGATGATGGGTAAAAGTAAAGAGCTCTCTCAAGACCTTCACAACCTTATTGTTGCAAAGCATCATGATGGCATCAGTTACAGAAGAATGTCTAAACTTCTGAAGGTTCCAGTGAGCACTGTTGGGGCCATAATTCAGAAGTGGAAAGAACATTACTTCACCACAAACCAACCACGACCAGGTGCTCCTCACAAGATTTCTGACAGAGGAGTGAAAAGAATTATCAGAAGAGTTGTCCAAGAGCCAAGGACCACTTGTGGAGAGCTTCAGAAAGACCTGGAATTAGCAGGTACGTTTGTTTCAAAGAAAACAATAAGTAATGCACTGAACCACCATGGCCTGTATGCACGCTCACCACGCAAGACTCCACTGCTGAAGAAACAGCATGTTGAAGCTCCTTTAAAGTTTGCTGCACAACATTTAGACAAGCCTGTGTAATACTGGGAGAATATAGTCTGGTCAGATGAGACCAACATTGAACTGTTTGGATGCCAGAATACACATCATGTTTGGAGGTCAAATGGCACTGCACATCAGCCCAAAAACACCATACCAACAGTGAAGTTTGGAGGTGGGAACATCATGGTRTGGGGCTGTTTTTCAGCATATGGTACTGGCAAACTTCAAATAATTGAAGGAAGGATGAGTGGAAAAATGTACAGAGACATTCTTGATAAAAATCTGCTTCCATCTACCAGGATGATGAAGGTGAAACGTGGCTGGACATTTCAGCAAGACAATGAGCCCAAACACAAAGCCAAGGAAACTCTCAGTTGGTTTCAGAGAAAGAAACTAAAGCTGCTGGAATGGCCCAGCCAATCACCTGACCTGAATCCAACAGAAAATCTATGGAAAGAACTAAAGATCAGAGTTCATAGAAGAGGTCCACGAAACCTTCAAGATTTGAAGACTGTTTGTGTGGAAGAATGGGCCAAAATCACACCTGAGCAATGCATGCCACTAGTTTCTCCATACAGGAGGCGTCTTGAAGCTGTCATTGACAACAAAGGCTTTTGTACAAAGTATTAGATAAATTTCAGTAAGTGTGTTCAATACTTTTCCCTGTGCCATTCCACATTATTACAAATAACTTCATTTCTGGACATTTATGGTTTGATTTCTTTGTATGTATGGATCACTTGGGTTGTTACCGACATCTGGTGAAAATTTCATGTCATTAGCACCTCTAGTAATATATTTACTGAGAAAAATGTTGACGTGTTCAATACTTATTTTACCCGATGTATATATTTTAAAAGCAACAGACACAAACAAAACTTTACTATCTGATCCAATAGAAGGAAGCTACAGCTGGAGTTCAGCAGAGATTTTAATCAGTCTGCCAACCTGTCCTGCAGGTCAGACTGTAAAAGTTGAGTTGGAAAAAAAAGAGAGCAACAACAAACAGTTTCAATGTTTTTATGACAGAAAAACATGTTTATGCTGTCAGTTTTTCGGTATGCACATTTGAATAGGAAAATTTATATTACACATCAGCTGAAAATAGAAAAACTTTAAAGAAACAGGAACAGAGTTTGACGGAGGTAAAGTGAAATAAAACAGAGCTGCCAACCGACAATTATACCTAATAATTTGACTTGTCACCCTCAGAGATTTAAGATAAAACACACTTCATTGTTTAAACTGAAACAAGAGACACATAACACTTTTTTCTGATTCGATTATTTGCTGACAAAGGAAGACTACAGTCTCAATAATGTCAACATATAAAAAGAAGGTGACAGTGAACGGCACACAGAGAGATTAAAATTACTGAAAGATTAAAATTGACCTTTACTGTATTTTCTGTTTTACTTCCTCAAATAAAACAAAGTAAAGGAAACAAAGTAAAAAGCACCAGGAAGACACTGACTGAGGTCCTGTTTACACAAGCCCAGTCTCTGGAAATATTACTGTTTTTTCAGTGTTTATTGGGGTAAATAAATGAACTTGGCCATAAGAGCTAATGCAAACAAGCTGAACTCAGGTTTGAAGCCAGGCCGGCGTGGGTCTTGCCTTGCAGAAAAGCATTCTATGAACTGGTTTCAAAAAGTGCTGATGTGAGACTTCAGTCACTGGTTACGTGTAAACGAGTGGCTGGATAAAAAAAAAAAAAGGTATGATTTCACTGAAAAGCAGCTCTGTGTGGACGGCCACTGATCTCATTAACCTGTGCTGTTTGTTGCAAAAAGAAATGCGATTAGTGGCAGATCAATCATGTTTCTTACCAGGTTTGCTGCAGAAGCCTCAGCGAATGACAGACCCCTAGGGATGATGAGAATGTGATCTTGCTCTTTACTAACTCGACCCTAAAAAAAACAAAATAACCCTGAGTATCAAGTAACAAAAGTCGTCAAGCACTCAGTCAATTCAATTTATTCAATTCAATTCAATTTTCTTTATTCATTTCATTAAAACAAAACAATTAATTTTATATACAATATAG